TCCCCACAATGGACTGAGAGTTCCTTGACGACACAAACAATCTCCTTTCACAGCGCCCAGAATTTGGGAGGCACTTAGAGAATGTCTGATCAGAGAATGAACATAATGAGCACACAACGTATATCTCTTTTTATCTTAGAGCAGCGAAGTGAAATTTCAGCCCTTCATTCCTCTTTTCCTTTCACATCATCCTCCACCCTGAAATTTATCTCATTGGAAAGTTATCCCACATCCCGCCTCCTTCCAAAGGATGGCGGACACTGGAGTCAGCCCGCCTGGGTTAGAATTCCGGCCACTCAGTCTGTTGATGTAGATCTAGGGCTCAACTCACCTGCCTCCATTTCTTTAGCAGTGAGATGGGTTCTACAACAGCACCTGATCCACCCTACAAGGCTGTGATGTGCATGAAATATAACGCAGGCACTGTGATTGGAACAGTGACTGACACAGAGCAACACCTCAGTAAGAGCTGAGGAGAGTAGCAAGAGCAATCGTAGTAATAGCTGTGCGTAGACGAGCAACAGCATTAGCAGCAATGGTATTCCGCAATTTGAGTCTGAGAGATTAGGGAGGGTAAGTTAGGACACAGTCTCACTTTTTCAATGTTTATTTGCTATTTGGTGCTTTCCCTGTCAAGGACATAACTTCCTCCTCAAAAATAGAACCATGTCCTCTTTAATTACCAAAATCAAAAAAAGTTATAAAATAATAATTCTTCTGTGCCAAGAACTATGCTAAACATTTATGTGCCCTATATAATTTAATCTTCATAACAATCTTTCAGGGAAGTCCCATGAACCTCAGTTACAGATGAGGAAATAGAGAATCAGAGAAGTACAGTCATCTGCCCAAGACCACACAGCGGGTAAGTTATGGCAGCAGGATATGAACCTTAATTTGTTTATTTACTTAATGGCCTCTCCCTTCCACTAGACTGCAAACTCTATGACGAAAGAGACCACATCTGTTCTGTTCATTATTGTATTCACAGCCTGTAGCGTGGTACATAATTAACAAAAGGGAATTTAGGAATGTGTGAAAAAAATGAATGAATAAGTGGATGAATAAATCCAGGGACTCAACTCTTAACCAAAGTGTGCCTACTTATCTGAGATGAATGATATTTTTGTATAACACATCACCAGGAAAATTAGAAGCTGGCTGAGAAATTTTATGAAAATAATAATAAAGGGGCTGGCCCAGTGACCGAGTTGTTAAGTTCGCACGCTCCGCTGCAGGCAGCCCAGTGTTTCGTTGGTTCGAATCCTGGGCATGGACATGGCACTGCCATCAAAGCACGCTGAGGCAGCGTCCCACATGCCACAACTAGAACGAACCGCAACAAAGAGTATACAACTATGTACCAGGGGGTTTTGGGTAGAAAAAGGAAAAAAATAAAATCTTAAAAAATAGCAATAATAATAAAAATACCTGCTATTTATTGAGTGCCTATTATATTCATTGTTCCTGTACTAACACCCTTATAAAGATATCTCTAATCCTTGCATCAATCCATAAGGCAGATATTGTTATCTCTATTTTACTCACGCTCTGTGTTACCCGGTTATACAAGATTTGAATGCAGATCTTTTGACCCAAATTTGAAGCGTTTTCCGCTTCAGGATACCGACTCTGAAGTAGAAAATAAGGCAGGTGCATGCTCTGTTTACTCACAAAGAGACACGTGAGGTTCATCCCATCCAAACCCCAGTAGTTACAAGAAGCTTCATGGCTCCATTGACCGTGGCCAAGAGGAATCGTCCACGATGCTGGATTACTCTGGGTGCCCCGTGTGTGCATAGCTTTGTTTTGTTCCCTCCTCGAATATTCCACAGGGTTGAAGGAACGACTCAGAGTCGTGTACTTTGTGCGGCCTATTTCCTTCAGGGAATGAGTAAACTGGTTGGCACTTTGACCTTTGAGCGTGAACAGTGACTTTATTCCAACACCTGACATTTATGTTACTGTATTCTCATGCCTCTGGCAAAATGTTACACCAAGCTGTGCATTTGCTTGTAAGCATCAGTAAATTCTTGTAAAACCTCTCCATTTCTCTGCTAGTAATCAATCCTGGAGTGCCTTCCCACTTCTGCTAAATGCTCCAAATAATGCCATCTGATGAATAAAGACAAGAATCAATCAATCCTTGGCTCATTCACTCATTCACTCAACAAATACTTATTGGGTGCCTACTATGCACCATACGTTGTCACCTTTGTAAAGAGCACAAAGGAGGCACCAAATAAAATAAACGACAGTAACTGCTATTGCTGTTGACTTTCTTCATCTTTCTGTGCATATAGGCAGAATAATGATCCCCTAAAGGTGTCTACATCCACATCCTCAGGACCTGTGAATATGTTACCTTACCTGGCAAAAGGGATTTTGCAGACGCTAAGGACCTTGAGATGGGAGATTAGCCTGGATCATCTGGGTGGGCCCAAGCTAATCACATGAGTTCTTTTCCTGCTGAGATGAGAGGAAGAGGAAGAGGTGACTACAGAAGAAGTGTCAGAGAGACGCAACATGGCTAGCTTTGACAGTGGAAGGATAGACACGAGCTAAGGCACGTGGGCAGCCTCTACAAGGTGAAAAAGACTAGGAAACAAGCTTCCAGAAGGGAACGAAGCCCTGCCGACACCTTGATTTCAGCTCAGTGAGACCTAGAATGGTAAGATAATAAATTTGTATTGTTTATTTGTGGTAATTTTTTACAATAGCAATAGGAAACCAATACACACTGCAACCAAAAAAGAAACAGTTTTCCTACTCTTCCAAATAGTGGGGAGACTGATTTCTTTAAGTGTTTCAAGAGTAAATATCAATTTTTGTGTCTAAAAATTGGAAAGTATAAGAACTCAATGAATAATAAAATAAATATTAGCATTGGATACACTTGGTGCCAGCTGAAAAAATATCTACGGCATGTATCATATTGCAAATCTTCCAAAATCAATACCCAACATCAATAGATTAAAATGAGCACCCTCACCATTTGGGGCAGATGATCATTCCTTATAACCAGTCAGCAGAACTCCAAACCACTCACCGAGAAGATCTCTGTCAATCACTTGATTTTCATTGTTTAACTTCAAATATTTTCATTGGTCACATTTACCTGTAAATCCGTTCTTTCAAAAAAAACCTGTGTTTTCCCCTCAGGTCATTTCACCCACTGGGAGGGGAAAGAAAAAAACTATTGGAGTTGTGCCAAAGAAGAAAAAAATCATTTTCTTGCAGTGGAGGATCTTATTGAAATGAAACATCTTTCCCTTGAAATGAAACATCTTTCCCATGAAATGGCTGCTAACACAACACGACAGAATACTAATACAGTCCTTTCATAATATTTTTTCTAAAGATTAGTTGCATTTTTAAAATTGCCTTTTATATTGCCCCCAAATGATGCTTAAAAAGATACATCACTTCTGAACAAGAGTTACTTTTTCCTTGCATTTCTGGTTAACTTACTTATGGTTTTGAGAAGTTATATTTACTCAAGGAAACTTACCAAAAGAAAAGATCATTTATAGGTAAAAGGGATAATTTGTGTGATTTAAAGAAGGGCTAACAAAGCTACAGATTTTCCCAAGATAACACACGTGCATGGCAGGCCCATATTTGTGTTCAACAACTGGGAAAAAGAACGCTTGTGTTTAATATTTCACAAACAATTTCTTCGTTTTATGTGCATTTAATACATGCACTTTTAAATGCAACCGTCTAAATATCCACTAGTCACCTTCATAATGAAAACTGAATGCATCATGCTTTTGGAACTTGGAGGGAGTGGGGATGTATGAATTTTTAAGAAAATGAGTATCTACTTTCCCCTCCCTCAAGAAAAAGGAGGGTAGATAAAGAAAATGTTGATGGTGTCAGGGTGTTGGACTGTTGGTGAGCAGGTGTGTGCTGCTGAATGGGCCTCTGGTGAATTGGAAGCTTTTAAAGAGATTGATTGTCTTGCTTAACTACTTATTTCAAACATGCTTTTAAAGGTATTAATTACTTGCGGAAAAGATTCTCCATTTGCTTCTAAATTGTTTCTTTGTGATTCCTTGCTTGCAAAAATGTCTGGGGTAAAAGTGAACATTCTGTCGCCATAATTTTAAATAACATATTTAAATAATATATTTAAATGTCGTATTTAAAATCATATAAATATACTTAAATTTAATTAAAATCCTTCAAAATTTATTTAAAATTATTTGTTTTATATGTAAAATTACACATATTTATATGTAAAATAATTACATGTATTTATATATTATACACATAAAATATGTGTAACCGTATTTATATAATATATAAATATATGTAAATGCTAGATTGAGCCTCTCTTAAAAGAACCTTGGTTTTTGTTGTTTGCATGCATGTGTGTAGGTGTATATTACATAATTCTATGAAAACTTCTCCTACTTAGTTTATCTTGCAGAATTGCATAAATTATAATCAGACACTAATCGATCTCTTCACTACCTTGGAAACCTGTCATCAATGCTACAAAGTTGTTTATGCATTGATTTTTCAGTTTGATCTGCAGAAAGCATTTGAATCTGCATCAGAAGCCATCTTTGGCTGGCCAAAGTATTTTTGAATACGTAGTATCTAATATCACAGGAGTAGGCATCGCTGTAACCAAGTCATTGGAATGTTACGCACAATTCCATACTGCCTTGGGCCTTAATTCTAGAGTTTTAGCAGCCTGGGGCATCCAGGTTCACATGAAAAAAATGTTTGCAGCCCTCAGGCACAGCATGTTCTCACTGTTCACGAGAGAGCATTTCCAGTGACAAGAGGCCATTTTACCAACTTGCTGTCCAGAACTCAGAATAGCAGACAGCAGAATAAAGAAACGCAACTCTCTTGCGTTAATGAGTAGAGTAAGGTTTAGACATTTTAAACGCCCCTTAGTAATGCCATAAAGCAACAAAATAGCACTTTAAAAAAAAAACCCAGACACCGTGTTGTATGAGCAACTACTTTATTTTAACCCAGCATCTGCCAAAATTTGTAGGAATATCTTCCCTACGCCAAGATTTCTATATCTTTTTCCACATAAACATTTGAAACAAAAAAATACATTAAAAAAAGTAATTGTATCAATTTTGTTGACTCCTGTTAGGTTTTATAATACTACTACAACTATTCACCGTCACCCATCCAGAGTTTTACAAGCTTTATCACTAATGTGAAATAGATACATAAGTGAAACACAGAAGGAAAAAAAACGACATCAAAAGTGCATCTTTGGTTGCTCCGAAATACATTTTAAGACACTGAATGAATATCTAATTGTTAAAACCAACACAAAAGACTGAAGCCTTTCTCTCAACGTTCCCAACAGGATAATGTAGTCTAACAGTTTATAAACACAAGCCAGGAATTAAAATTAAAAACTACGCCAGGTCAGAAATGAGACCACTTTATAATTAGAGAAAAAAACTACTAGTCCCTGGTGTAGATTAAGAAGTAGATGGTTTCTGAAAATGTACATAAGAGCGACAAAAATAAACAACTTCCACAGTCTGGTGGCTCAATTCCGTTCCCTTGTGATGGAAACACAAAAAAGAGTCTCTAACAAGCTCCAAAAATATGTGTATGTGTATTTTCAGTCAAATTTAGCTTTCCAGACAGCTACGTTTTTCTGCTGGAAATAATGAACTAACATAAAAATGATATAAGGATGTGTGTAAAAAGGACATTTAAGTGAAATAGGTTGAAGAACTTCATAAATTTACCAAAGATTAAATTAAAGCTGGATGTGTAAGCTGTAGTGATAAAAACAATTTGGGGTGGTTCCTTCTTTAAGCAAGGATGGTTTGGGCTTTATCAGAAACCAGGCTTGCATGACTAATCAGTGGCATGACCAGCCCAGGCTCAGAAACAGGAGTCCCAGGCAGCCCCTTACAATACATATATGTCCAAAACTCATTATGTTTGCTATGCCTTGTTCTTGACCTAAATGCAGTAGAAATTCTTCCTTGGGGTACATGATATACCTGAAAAAGTACAACTTCTTTTTAAAACGCCATTAGAATATTTTATTGTGTGTGGACATACACTCTTGTTACTCCTAAATGCTATTCTATTGAGTACAGTTTATATTCACTGGCAAAGAGAAATCTCCGGGGAAGCCAGAGAGGGAATGCAATTTCTAGTAATAACAGCTCACAACAGTGAATACTATCCACTTATCCCCACAATTTCCAGCTATTTTGGACTCCTTTCTGAATTAACCTTTCATATCAAAAGGAGCAATTCTGCACACTAGAGACTCCGGCACAATTTCATGCATAATTTATTCACTCAGTTCAACATTAAACGCACAGTCCTTGACTTTGTCAAGGTGGATTCTGTTGGCAGACTTCACAAGCAGCAAAACAGGAGAAATGAGATCTACAACTCAACCTCTTCACCTATTCTGTCTGGTGAGAGATGGCGGGTGGGGGTGGAGGGAAAAGAAAAATAAGGCAAGATTCTGGGACACTGTGTTGTCATCTATAGACTCTCTGGCCAGCACGCAGTATTGCCACACAGTAGTCTCTCAAAGATTTTTTTTTGGAAGTCCAAAAAAATTGAAAGAAGCTTGAATTCCGTTGCACCAACAAAAGTCTGGGGCAATTTGTTACCTTCCTGACAATTCCACCATTCATGGGAAAACAATACTTTTATCCCGGGTTACTTAGTAGGCACTGCTGGAAGAAATTACTCAAAGCTGTTATTCCAGCAGACCCACGCATTAGCTTGAGGTCACATGAGAGGGCTCGCTTTAGAAATTTAAATAACACAGACTTTCCAATGAGATCCCAAATCCAACATTTGCACTCCCAAATTGGCCTTCAAGAACATAGACATTCATTTTCTCTCCTAAACTACCCAACAGGACCCTCAAATGAGGGATGTGTGCAACCAGTTTTAAAAACGGAACCCTGATACACCATGAAACCGTTCCTCAGCCTTTTCAGTGTTGGCAGAAGCTCAGAGAAGACAAGACGTCCATTTTCTCTCCTTTCAAAGGCCACCTCATTCAGTCATTCAGTCAGGACACCAGAGTCCACTACTGTCCAAGTCAACCCACAGATTATTCTATTTCTCAATCTCATGCTTTACAGAAGATTTTGTTCATCCTGTAACAGACGACTTTTCTCCTGTTAATGATTGCTGTGTTAGCCCTCAATATATGCCAGCAACTTTGCTGAGGGCTTTGCAATCATTGTTGAATTTATTCCATCTAACATCACCATGAGGTAGTGATTGACATCCACGTGTTGCACATGAAGAAACCGAGGCTCCGAGATCCTAATCACTATGCATAGCAGCTCCCTTGCAGGCCTCAGTTTCCCTTGAGAGGCAAAAACTAAAATGATAATTAAATTTTAACACCAAAACAGATACTGATTTCCCAAATGCATTAGACAATGTGATTTGGTCCCTAACTTTAGCACTGGCCCTTTAAAACATCACCTTCCAGCTGTCACGGCCCACTTTCCAGACCCGTGGATGAGATGAGGCCTAGGAGGGTACCAGGAGATGCCTTTGGAAACACCACAAAATGCAGGAAATTTCCATGCGGGACACTTTGGCAAAAGTCTTTAAATCTAAACTTGCTTAGCCCGCTGCCCCCACAGTCTAGTTAGAAGAAGCCCGAAGCACATAAATTGGAGCCTTACCAAAACTGAGCCTTACTTTTATAATTTGCCTTTAAATTTATTGTAAGACCATGAAAATTAAACGCCTCTGGTACCTCGGTGAGAGTTGAGCCGTCCTGCTTGGTTCCCATTCAGCAGCCTTTTTATTGTCTCAAGATGGTTTCTGGATTTGGACCAAATCACTGAAATCTGTGAAGACTCAGAAGTGCAGCAGGTTTTCTGTTTGTGACCTTTTCGACCCCAGAGACGTGGATTCGCATCCTGAGGATGACATACCAAAAAGAACTTTAGAAGCGCCCTTTTGCCCTTGATTCTATTTACCCACCTCCTCAAGCCACCATGCAATTTGAGATGATTGGCAGGCGGTGGGAAGAGCATGAGGCACGTCGGACACGTTGGACTCAAGATGCAATGGCAACGGCTAGAATCCTTGACAGCCCCACTCCTCATCACCCTTGTTGCCGCATTCCCAAGGGCCGGGAGCGCCCACGGCAGTGGCCTATAATTTCAGATCCCTGGAGCAGGATCTTATGCCTGTGGAGTGACCAACTCTCAAGGCTTCTAGAATTTCTATTTGTCAGAAGCTGAACATTATCGCAGGGCTTTACTTCCGGACATACACTTGGAAGAATGCCAGCTCCTTCGCTTCCCAGCCTGGTGACCTTGGGCCTGTGTCTTAACGCGGCTGCACATCAGGTTCCACGTTAGGAAACAAGTTGAATAGTATCTACTTTAGAGAACCTTTGTGCGAATTTTACCTGATAACAATTTTAAGTTGTTTAACTCACTGTCCGGCACAGAAGAGCTCAGTATTCACAGGTGACATTTATTTGCTTTCCATATATGATATCAATTTTAATTTGAATCTTCATGGCACATCTGTGAGGTTATGGTAATATTTGTCATACAGACGTGGAATCAAAACCCAGAAATTAAGTTACACGTGTAAATGTTGCTCAGTGGGTCAGTGCGGGGCTGGAACTTGAACGTACGTCTCTTTGACTTCAAAGCCCAAAAAGTTTACACCACAGTATCATGCTGTCACACTAACAAATGTTGCTTCAAGGAGCCTCACAAGAACTGATAAAGTAGGGAGGAGGGATTTGTTAAGGGCCATAAACTTAACTTGCCACTGAATAATTGTAATTCACTACTGTTTATTCTTGCATCATTTTCCAAGCACTCCATGGAAGGGACGTCCAAATGCATGCGCCCTGAAGGAGACAGCTACTCCACCAAGATCGCCTTTCCCTGCTGGAGCTCAAAGCCATCAGTTGCTGCGAGGACTACTACAAAGGGCAATCTATACCCGTGACCTTTGCAGAAGACTTGCCCTTGGCAGATGGGAGCAAACTCCCCCGAGACAGAGACTTCCAGGAGGTGTATTATTCAGGATTCTCTAGAGAAATAAACCAATATGATGTGTATATAAAAGAAATTTCTTATAAGGAATTAGCTCACACAGTTATAGAGGCTAGCAAGTCCAAATCTGTAGTGTGAGCTAGCCAGCTGGAGACCCAGGAGAGCGGATGGTGCAGATGAAGTCTAAAGGTGGTCTGCTGGAGAATTCCCTCTTGCTCTAGAGCCAGTCTTTTTGTTGTATTTAGGCCTTCAACTGATTGGACAAGTCTCACCCACATTATGAAGGGCAATCTGCTTTGCTCAAAATTCATAGATTTAAATGTTAATCTCATCCAAAATCATTCTCCAAGTTGATGTATAAAATTAACCATCACAGGAGGTTATCCCCAGGCTCTCCACTCGCAGATGGCCAATGACTGATACAGGATTCAAAGGGCCCAGGCAGTACATCTTTATGGATTAGACTGTGGCTAAACTTTATATGACATCGTACCCTTGCTTGGATTTTCTCCTTCCCTATTCAGCTTCTATCTCTCTCACACAGGTTTGTCATAAGGAGCTGTCCCTCAAAAATCAAACAATACAACCGAATCCTTGTCTCAGGCTCTGCTTCCAGTGAAACCAACCCAAGAGACAATGCCTACTAGCTCCTGAACCATTTCACTCTTTTCCAGTTTTACTCAACTCCTCAGCCACCAACCTCTACTCGTGTTTGCCTCACCCTACATGTTCTCCTATTATAAGCTATGCTCTTCTGACTCCAGCTTCAGCTTTGTTTGACAGATTGCCCCTATTCACTCAACCCCTATTGATTCACAAAGGCTTTATCTGAATGTGTGTGGGGCACAAGAGTCTAATATAAAAACCAGTGCTTTAAGGAAATTTCATTTACTTCTAAATTTCCATCACAGTTTTTCAGCTTTTACTGAAACTACATCTGCAATGAATGACAGTTACCTGGACTCTCATTCTAAAGCTTTATTTGAGTCCGGGATGCCAAAATTCCTGTTTGTATAAATTACCTTACGCTAAGATCCGCAAGAAGTTTGTAGACTTCTCTTGAATGAGGTTAACAAGAAACTACCACAACTAAGAAATTTACCAGACACCCATGATATATTGCCACTCCATAGCAAATCAATAGATTAGCGTTTTAAACTTGCTAAGTCATATTCTCTGACCATTTTTCTCAACTGTAATAAATCTTAACATGGAATGCCAGGTTAATATAATCAAACACCTTAAGATGGCATTCACATAACCTTGGTGATGTTATACCACTGCTCCTCCACATTTTGAGCTCAACAACTTTATTAACTTTACCTGACAATCCAGCCCTCCACATAAGGATGGTGTCTTAGCATTTGGACTGCTGTAACAAAAATAACAGAGATTTGGTGGCTTAAACATTTAATTCCCACAGTTCTGTAGGCTGGAAAGTCCAAGATCAAGGCACCAGCAGATTCAGTGTCTGGTGAGGGCCAATTCCTGGTTCATAGACAGCCACCTTTTTGCTGTGTCCCCACATGGTGAAAAGGGTAACAGAGTTCTCTGAGTTCTCTTTTATAAGAACACTAAGAGGGCTCCACCCTCACAACCTAGTCACCTCCCAGAGGACCCACCTCCTAATACCGTCACCTAGGGGATTAGGTTTCAACAGAAAGAGGCATCATCATCCGCCTGATCTGACAAGCTAAAAATCTAAATGACAACTTCAACTTCACTCTCTCCTTCCGCCCCTCCATGTAATCACCAAGTCCATGGAGTCCACTGCTTCCACGTTTCTCCATGCTGTTTCCTCTTCCTCATTCATAACTGAATCTCCCTCATTTATCCTCTCTCACCTGGAGTGTTATGATGTCTCCTAACTGTTCACCCTGCCTCCTGTGTCTCACCTCTGAGCGTGACATCCCTGCTGAGCATGTTATCTGCTGTCACTTACAAGACAGCCCTGAATCCTTCCCACGCCTCGTAAGATTTTTCAAGATTGATCCCAACACACCTCTCCAGCCTCACCCCGTCCCCAGATCCCTCAGCCCAGCACACTCTGACCTTCCCACTGTTCCCCACACATCCTATCATCTTTCGGGCCTCCAAGAATCACTCCAGGACCTTGGTGATGTTATACCACTGCTCCATCCACCAGCTCAGACGTCACATTCTGTTCATTTGGGTTCTTCTAAAAGCAGAACCTGAGTCCAGGACTGGAGTTCAAATGGTATATTTGGGAAGTGATCACAGGAAGCAGGAGTGCACGGTGGGAAAATTGAAAATGGGAAGAAGAAAAAGTAAATAAAGCTGCAGTTTCAAGGTTGTTGCTATACGCCCTGTCAGGACCTCTGAAAACCACACAGAACACTTCTTAGAACTGGTCCTTTAAAGCTGGGGGGGACTGCAGCATTGGTCTATTGGCTTTCATTCCTCCTGGGCAGTGGGAGATTGCCCCTGAGGGCATTAACTACCTGGGCAGTCAGCACTATACTTCAATGTCCAGAGGCTTCAGAGAAAGCTCTCGGGCAGAACAGCTGAGAGGCACAGCCCACACTCTCAGGGCTGCAGAACCATGCACTGTCTGAGCAACCGAATCAGAGGGGAGGAGGGGAGGTGATGAAAGGTCCCCCAAAGCATCTGCTGCACCTTCCTCGCAAAGATTTCCCCTACTCCTCCAAAGGCGGGCGTTCTCGCAAACCCCTCCATGCTGAGTTCTCCTGCAGCATTTACTAGAATTTACTGTCCTTATTTGTTTACTGCTCTCTCTCCCTCCAGCTCTGAGCTCCGAGAGAGCGTGTCTCGCAAGCAGAGCCATTGGTCCACGCTAGAATTCCTCAAATGTGTGTGGAGCGAATCAATCCGTAAAGCTTTTCTTGAGCCATTCCATGATACTAAATGTCTAAGGCCACATTTGAACACAGATAAAAAGATAAGATACCAACTCATTAATGTGAAGTTTAAGATCTGCAACCCTAGCTGTCAAATATGGAACCAAATATTTTAGACTCGATTCGAAATGCTACAGTAAAGTTGTTTTCTTCCTGGCTTTTGTAATTTTAAAAGTAATAAGTAAAAGACACAGAGAGCAAAGTCCTCTAGGCTGAAGGAATTTAAAGTGGAGATTATATACATATATATATATATATATATGTATGTAAAGTCACTATCCAATACATCTTTATTATATTTTTTAAATTTTGTTGCCATAAACTCAATCGATAAAAAGTTACCCTTAAAATAATTTAAGCAAGTTCCTATATTTTTTTCTATTTCTGGCTTATTCAAATTAATCTTTTTCTGTACCCTTCTCCTCCTGTTTGCTTGATGTACCCTGACATAAATTCAATACAAATATGGGTGGTTGTTCGGAAGGGCAGCCTAGAAATGTTAATTGGCTGATCACAATAGCAGTCTCATCCTAATTCCAGGCATCTCTCAGCCCTAAAAGAATCATGTTCCCCAATTTCTATAAATTTAAAAGAGAATTCCCGTGCCTTTGATTGACTGTGCCAGTCTGTATTATTTTTCCATTTTATAAAACTGTGGCTTGGAAAAATGTGCATTGCACACAAAGATGTGCAACACACAACTCATAAATAATCTTTCAAATAAAATTATTATGCAGCTGTTGGTTTTCGGTAGAGTGAGACATCCATTCAACAGCTGTTTGTAGAGCACATACCCTGTGCTGGCCCCGTGCTGGTGGTCGTATTTATTGTTGAGCGCACAGTCATTCTGCCATGTCAGACTCCAAAAGCCCACGGTCTTTTAATATCTTGTAATCAAACTCTCTTGGAAAGTCAAATTGGTGCCATTTAGCAAAGCTTAGCAATAAGCCACTGGTCATGCATACACCTAAAGTAAGGATTCTTTTCCCTTCGGAAATATTTACCGTCTTTTAAAGCTGATAGCCACTATGGTTATAACAATGCCTGTACTTAGCTTTACGTTTCAGTTCTGACCTAGTCTTTTCTTTGCCAAGCAGTATTTTACCCACTTCTGTATGTGTGTGTGCATGTATATACATATAACATAAATTTACAATTTTAACAGTTTTAAGTGCACAATTCAGTGGCATTAACTACATTCACAATGTTAGACAATCATCACCACTACTTCCAGAGTGTTTTCAACATCCCAGACAGAAACTCTATACCCATTAAACACTAACTATCCATTCTCCTTCTCTCCCAGCCGCTAGTAACCTCTAGTCTACATTTGTCTCTACGAATTTGCCCATTTTCGGTAGAATCATACAGTATTTGTCCTTTTGTGTCTGGTTTATTTTACTTAGCATAATGTTTTCAGGGTTCATCTATGTTGTAGCATGTATCAGAATTCCATTCCTTTTCATGGCTGAATAATATTCCCTTGCGTGTATATATTATATTTTGTTTATCCATTCATCGGTTGATGGATGCTTGGGTTGCTTCCACCTTTTGGCTATTGGGACTAGTGCTGCTGTGAGCATTGGTGTATAAGTACCTGTTTGAGTTCCTGCTTTCAACTTCTCTAGGTTTATACTTAGGAGTGTAATTGCTGGATCATATGGTAACTCTGTTTAACTTTTTCAGGAACATCCAAACCAAAGTGTTTTCCACAGCAGCTGCACCATTCTACATTCCCATCAGGAATGCACAAAGTCTCCAATTTCTCCACATCCTTGACAATAATTATTTTCTATCTTTTTAATAATAGTTATCTGAATGGATATGAAGGGGTATCTCATTGTAGTTTTCATTTGCATTTTGCTAATGACTAATAAAGTCGAGCATCTTTTCATGTGCTTATTGGCCACTTGTATATCTTCTACAGAGAAATGCCCATTTAAGTTCTTTGCTCATTTTTGAATTGGGTTATTTTTTGTTGTTGTTGTTTTTGAGTTGTAGGAGCTTTTTATATATTCTGTGTATTAATCCCTTATCAGATATATGATTTGCAAATATTTTTTCCTATTCTCTGGGTAGCGTTTTCACTCTCTTGATAATGCCCTTTGATGCATAAAAGTTTCTAATTTTGATGAAGTCCAATTTATCTGTCTTCTTTTGTTGCAAATGCTTCTGGTGTCATATCTAAGAAGCCATTGCCAAATTCAATGTCATGAAGATTTTCCCTTATATTTTCTTCTAAGAGTTTTTAGATTTGGCCCTTAAATTTAGGTCTTTGATCCATTTTGAGTTAATTCTTGTATATGGTTTAAGGTAAGAGTCCAATTTCATTATTTTGCATTTGGATAGCCAGTTTTCTCAGCACCATATGTTGAAAGAACTGGTTTTTTCCCATTGAATGGTCTTGCATCCTTGTTGAAAACCAACTGACCACATATACGTGGAGCCCTCTTATATATTTGAATTTAGTCCCAGTGAGTCAGTTGTAAAAAATAAGCACTGGAGAGCAACAAAATTTCAATTACTCTACAGAATTTACCAATGTTGTTTAGAATCCTTATTTTGCAAAAGTCAGATATTACAAATACTATTGTTATTTAGATCCAGGTTTAAATATTTCACACCACACATGAGAAAGAGAAAAGGGTATTACCTCAGGTTTTCACTTCAAGGTAAGGGTCAGTTTCTTTGGATTCCTCTGCCGCAGTGATCGCCCTCTCAAGATGGCTCAGGAATGACTATAGTGGAAATGACTTTGAATCACCTTGGATAATTACGCTAATGAACAAAACCTGTTGTAGAATTCTGTGGCTAGAAGTTATAAATGGCAGTATCTTTCAAAATAATGGGTTCTAACTTCTGCATTTAGTTGACTCGATAGCCCAATTGAATTCAAACCATCCCTAATTATTAGCCAAGGGATTCCGTAGACAGGATTAGGTTCAAATTAGGTCACACAATTCTTCAGATCCAGAAGCAAGGGTAGAAGAAGAAATGGAAGCATCTCAGCTATCTTAAACATCATCTTGAACATGGTGTTTCCCTTTGATCACCTTTTCTGGCAAGAAAACATAAAAATAGAGGTCGTTATTGAAAGGAAAAGAAACAAATGAGGCAATTCATGGCCAGACTTGCCATAAATGAAGAGATTTAAAGCCTGTGGCTCAAACAGGTACATGAAAAGATGCTCGACATCACTAATCAACAGGGAAATGCAAATCAAAACCACAGTGAGCTATCACCTCACACCTGTTATGATAGCTATTGTCAAAAAGACAAGACATAACAAGTGTTGACAAAGGTGTGGAGAAAAGGGAACACTTGTATACGATTGGTGGAAATATAAATTGGTACAACTACTATGGAAAATAGTATAGACGTTCCTCAAAAAATTAAAAATAGAACCACCATACGATCCAGCAATCCCACATCTGGGTATATATCCAAAGGAAATGAAATAACTGTCTCAAAGAGATATCTGTACCCCCATGTTCATTGCAGCATTATTCACAATCGCCAAGATATAGAAACAACCTAAGTGTCCATCAATGGATGAATGGATAAAGAAGACACGGTGTTTGTACATACAAAAGAATACTACTCAGCCATTAAAAAAGACAAAATTGTGCCACTTGCAACAACCTGGATGGACTTTGAGGGCATTATATTAAGTGAAATAGACATAGAAAAACAAATACTTATACGTGGAATCTAAAAAAGCTGAACTCAGAAACAGAGAGCGGACTGGTGGTGGCCAGGGGCTGGGGAGCAGGGGAAATGGGGAGATGTTGGTCAAAGGATACAAACTTCCAATTATAAGATGAATAAGTTCTGGGGATCTAATGTACAATATGGTGACTATAGTTAATACTGTATTACATATTTGAAAGTTGCAAAGCGAGTGGATGATAAATGTTCTCATCACAAGAAAAAAATCCAATTATTATGTAAGGTGATGGTGATGTTAACCAACCTTATTGCGGAAATCTTTTTGCAATATATACATGTATCAAACCTTCACACTGTACGTCTTAAACTCACACAATATAATGTATCAATTATATATCAATAGAGCTGGGGGGAAGGGGAAGAAAGAAGGAAGGAAGGGAGGAAGACAGGAAGGAAGGAGGGAAGGAAGGAAGGCTGGAAGGAAGGAAGGGTGGGAGGGAGAGAGGAAGGAAGGAAGGGAGGAAGGAAGGAGGGCAGGAAGGAAGGATGGATGAGAGGGAGAGAGGAAGGAAGGGAGAAAGGAAGGGAGGAAGGGAGGAAGGAAGCCTGTGCCTCTTTAATAGTGCTTTGTGATTTGCTTGGGGGAAAGATACCAGGAGACCAAGTGTGATGGCAGCGGTAGAAACCAGGAAGAAAAAGACTTAATTGTTGATTTATACCATCCTTTGCATTATTTTTAGAAGGCAAACATCAAAATATTTTAAGATTTGTGACCTTAATGCATTAATGACTGAAAACATTTTTATTAAATATTTCAAATGTTTTTACTAATAAAGTTTAAAACATAATAAAATATTTTTATTAAATGTGCATTGCAAAACAAAACATGACAAGACTTTGTGCCATTATCCTTAGCTAAAGTTCCTGAACGATATCTCAAAAGCTGGTCACGTTGAACAATATCATCATGGGTTTTGGCCTTAGACAAACACATGTTTACAAGCTGTGCAGCCTAGTTAAAACACCCTGATCTTTAGTTTCCTTATTTGTAAAATGAGGTTGCTAATAACCACTTCATGGTATTGATGTAAGAAGTAAATGAGAAAACAATGTAGAATCAATCACTTAGTAGAATATGTAGCATATGGTCAGGACTAAACAAATGTAGCTATATTCTGAAAATGTTAGTGACCCCTCTCAGGGAGATGGTGAGATCCATACATATCTTCTCTGGTTATCTTTGTAGAAAGTGAAGCAAGATAATCACCCATCAGAACTAGTTGCTTAATATTGTCTCTGAAGGTGGCCCCCAGTATCAAGGTGGCCCCCAGTATCGTTCCAGTTTAAAGAAAATCAGTAAAGAAAGAAACAAAAGTCAGAGGCCAGTTCCCAGTTTCTTAATCACTTGAGTTACAAAACGGAAAATCTGATTAGGACAATAAACAAATAACATGTCAAATGAAAAACAAAGTTTATAAAACACTTGTCTTGCTACCTAAAACTAAGCACTCATAAGAGGTAACCATTTTTATTATTTTATTATTTATTTTTATTCACATCAGTTCAAATTGGCAAAAATATCAAATAAAACTTTACATGGTCATCCCATTTCAACTCTTTTGTGCTTTCATACAAGATAAATATTCTGTAAAGCATGAACCAAAATTAAGTTCATTTAAAAAGATTATTAAGGTTGGATTTTTTCCCTACAATTAAGGGAGCTAGAATAAATATGGATTCAGGAAAACAATTCTAGAAGTGAGAACTAATCAGGTAATAGATGGATAAAGAATGATTTCTGATGCAATCCACAAGCAAACCAAATCTTCCTGTTAGAAGAAGTTAAAATCACTACTCCAAAGGACTCAACTCAACACATAACCATTTTCATCAACAAATTAAGGCACCATTGGTAAAAATATATGCTGCCTTCCGGTTGAATGGGAAGTCTAGAGCCGCTCTTCTAGTTCTTAACAGAAAGAGGAGAACTTTAAAGGGACGTTAGAATAAGAAAATATTTCAAGGCTGGCCCCGTGGCTGAGTGGTTAAGTTCATGAGCTCCACGTCAGCAGCCTGGGGTTCACCAGTTCGGATCCTGGGCACAGACCTACACACTGCCATCAAGCCATGCTGTGGCAGCATCCCACATAGAAGAACTGGAATGACTTACAACTAGGATACACAACTATGTATTGGGACTTTGGGGAGAAAAAAATAAGAGGAAAATTGGCAACAGATGGTAGCTCAGGGCCAATCTTCCTCGCCAAAAAGCATACCTTCAAAAAAAAAAAGCAAGAAAATATTCCACACTGGTCTCACCCATTATTTAAAGGTGAAGGGTAATAGCATTTTTAAAACTCTTGAAATTTCATATGACATCTAGTTAAAGAGGAAAGAGTTGACTCTTATTGTGGACATGTTAGGCTGGAAAAAAGGATGGATTAAATGGATTATCATCTGGTAAAAGCCAATGAATTGGGCAATGAAATTATTTATTTTCAAATCCAGTCTATGGCTGGATGCTCATTATCTCTCATTGTGGTGTAGATGGAGACATAGAATTAATTTTAAAACTCATGAGCCTGCAAAATAGTTTAATGGTTTAGCTCATAGCCTCAGGAGTCAGAAGGTCCAATGCCAGATTTACCATGTCACCTGGAGCAAGTGACTTATCTTCTCCAAGCCCAAATTGCTCATCTGTCAAATGGGCTTAAAAATTGTACCTGCCTTAATACAGTGGGATAATGCAGGGAAGCATTCAGAGCAGTGGCCAGCAATGACCAATACATTTTAGCAATTGTCACTATCATTCTCATCAGTGAGGAAACTCCGTTGTGTAGATGATCTTTGGACTTACATTCTTCTCTTGGAAAAACATAAGACATATTTTACTTTGAATATGCCCAAAGAATGGGAATGACCCTATCTGGAGAGGCTTCACCCCCAAATATTAAGAAATGATTTGGTCACAGTTTTTGCTGTCTTTAGCACAAAGAGAATACACCACACTGACCAAAGGAATGGCTTCCACCAAAATATTCCATTAAATGTTTCATTTTGCCTCTCAATGCCTCAAGTTTAGAGTTGTTGCTTTCCCAACTAATGAATAACCAGACAATTTCTGGGCATGGATGTGACACAACTCTGTGGCACACACAGGAATTTGCCATCTACCCACATACCTTTTGCCAGAACAAAAGTCTCTCAGCCACAAATCCTGCCAGTTAGTCCATCCCTCTGGCTGCAATCACAGAAACAACGTCTTGGGAACATAACTTCTGCTTAAAGTAGAGAGCTCAGAGTAAACACTGCATATTCAAAGAAGCACAAGGCACATCATAGCCACAAAGAGAGAGAAACAACTTCAAGAGAGAAATATCCAAAACTGAAAAAAAAGACTTAATTCCCAAGAGGGAAAGCATTAAATGAATTTTAGCTGAAAATGCAAAGCCATTTACATTTGCCTTAATACTGCCAAAGTGTCTGTTGTGAAGGCCTTGAAATACTGTCTATTTCAATATTACCCTCAGGTGAAAATGGTTTTGAGATGTCCTCTGTATTCTTTGCTGGGGCCTGAAAAGAAATTACTGCATTACCTTGCATTTGCTCTTAGAGTCATTAGCCTTAGACAGCACCATCATTTAAGAAATTTATCATCAGTGCTGTCCTTCGCACAATGTATTAGTGCAATACATTATAAGAGCACCTCACTCTGATGATGTATGGCTCCAAAGATGGCAACATCTGGGAATGAATGGGTCTAAGAATAGATTTGGTGTAAGAGGATAAATGGATAGATCCACGTTGGTAATGTTATCCTGAAATAAACCAGTATTTGTTGTTCTCAACCAATCCCTCCAACACTCAACAATCTTTACAATTTCCCCGATTTAAAAAAAAAACAATTATTCATGACATTAAATTGATTTTTCAGGACAAAGAAGGAAGGTTCCTAAAATTAGTGGGTTGGTACATTGAGGGATAACCTAGCCCAAGCTTGATGATAAATTTCAATCATGGCTTTCAAGAAAACTCTAATTTAGTCCACCTCTCGCTCACTTAAATTTTTCAGTAGATTCGCCAAAGGAGAGAGGAGAGATTAACGTCTGATGTCTTCAAGGGTATTAGAACAAAAACTGAGTCACAATTAATTAGTCTATTCCAAATTCTAGCTTTCTACATGGCTGATGATACATTTTTTCTAAGCTCAATTCTCCCATTTCCATTCTTCAAAGTCCAGAGTGCTGTCCTCTCCATTACTTTGCCTAAATAGGATGCAAATATTTTAGTTAACTACTGAAATAAATCATTAGAAACATCCAACTTCAAAGAAAATTATGGCAAATGAAAATGCCTCAATAACTCGATTCCTGCACGCTAGAGTAATCTGCAGGGCCACAGACTTCTTTGTTAAAATGCGTTCACAACCGGCCCTCCTTTCCCATTTTAAGCACAGTGCCTCCAGGAGTCAGTGCTGAAGTGATGCTATTTCACCCTGCTACCCTATGCCACCGTCCCATGATGCTTTCTTCACTGGAGCTACTCAATGTTTCTTACGCTAAGAGAAAAAAGGTGAGAAGAGAGTGAGAGGGTAAAACAGCATGTGTGCACAATCCCACAATTATGTCCAATTAGTGTATTTCCTCCAACTATGTTGACCTGCCAACCAGTTCGAAATCTTAGTGTGATGAATTTAGACACCAGCTCCTTTATACTCCATGCCCACCAACGTGAATTTCGAAAGAGACTTGGGGCTCTCAGCATCTCTCAGCCTACTATAAGATCATTGTATTATCTGACCTTAACAAGCAAACTATTTTCCTCCCACAGGATGCTGCGGAGCAAGAAAAAACCCTCGTCTAGACCACTTGTCTGTGGTGATCAGGGACTTGATATGTTTTCAACACTCCCGCAGTCTGTCATCTCTTCGTCTCTGCCCAGGCCATACCCTATGTTATTTGTTACAGATTTACTAAACCACCAGGGAATCTTGACTTTAGTGGGAAAGAAACGCAGAGGCAGAAAGAAACACAGACAAGTCAGAGAGACAGAGAGTGGCAGAAGGGAAGAAGGAGTGGAAAAGACATGGATAAAAGAAATAAATGGCTGAGCTTCAAATTGTTTTATATTTAATGAGCTAACAACTATCTTAAATCAGAAAGCCTATTCTCAGAAGTTAAAAGGGAACGTATTCAATGCCTGGAGAGCAGCACGGAATATCATCTTCCAATGACACTATTTCCTTTCATGAAATAAAGAAAGAACCTTGGCAAAATAAAATATTTAATTAAGGAACATATCATTGTGTCATTGAATAATATTCCAAAATCCTTTCCCCCTTTTTCACTTTTATGAATCACTGAACTTTCACTGCTTGTCATTTCCATTATACTAGTTTGTTCTCCTTTCTGTTGCCTGTTTTTTAAGTTCTTTCTGATAATAGGATTTCTGATTTAAGATGGTTGTTAGCCCATTAAATACAAAAACAACTGGAGGGTCAGTATTAACATAAAACCGCTGTAATTATTTCGAGATATCTTTTCCTCTAGACTCTTTTAAGCAAGTGTGCCTCAAAACTTTACCAACCCTCAAACATTACAGAATTTGGCCAATTTCATTCTAAAATAACAGATTCTTCTCACTTAAGTGGATCTTAGCTCATGGTGGCCTCTGTAGGAAGCCCAAGGCATCTTCCAGCACCTACTACACCTCTTTCACCAAGAATGGGACAAGCTCATGACAACAAAAGACTTCAGGCCATCTTTCTCTTACCTCTTTCCACATTGCCTGAACAGACCTGAGGATTCAAACATTCTCTAATTTTTCACCTCTCTCACTCCTTTTCCTTTGTATCTTCTTTTCTTTGCCATCAATGTAAGAACCAAGACTTGCATGAGATAAAGGAAAATAGATTAACTGATTTAGGCTTTCATCTCTGGAAAGCAAATCAGCCGTCCAGTGAGACCAGCCTAAATGGTGCAATTCTACATTGAGGTTTGAAGTCAAAGTCCCAGCTAATAAAAGAGCATTGTGATGCCTTCCTTTGCCTCTTCCATGCATATACCTTTCAGGGACCCTGTGGGGAATGACACGGATTAGAGCAAAGCAAGATTCAGCCAAGAGGCAACAGAGTGCAAGGCTGCGACTGGTTATCTGCATCAGACGCTTTGAGCTTTCTAGCTCTGTGCCTTTGGGCAAACATCTTACTTCCTCCATCCTCCATTTCATTTGGTGGCATATGATAAGTTGTTGATAAATATCAGCTAATTTTTTTTTTTTACTTTTTATTAAGATTATGAATCTCAGCTAATTTTACTACTATTCTTGGGATGCTGGTCTAATATGATCTATTAGCTTCTATTCCAATCAGAAAGGATACGTCTGCCTACTTTTTAGTTTGAGGCAAATAGAAGAGGTGACTTTGTGAAAAACAAGGAAGGTAAATCATGAAAAATTATAGCTAACTATTGTGTTTTTACCGTGGCATGTCAGCGAAAACTAGGAAGATCATGCATTGGTCCCATTTATCAGATACTTCTTTCATATTAAGCACCTACCATATGTCTAGACTTGTGCCAGTCACTATGGGGATACAAAAGAGATATGGGACATTGTTCTTTGAGTCAAAGAGCTGCCATTCTAGCTAAAGAAACTAAATGGACATAGCATAATGGGATTTGGACCTATTAGTGATTGAAATATATCTGAAACAAGGGACAGACCGGTGTGGATGATAATGGTTGGGAAGAGGATAGGAAGGAGAAGCTTGAAACAAAGCTGGATGGGAAGATCAGATTAAGACAGGCAGAAGGAAAAAGTGTGGACATTTTAGGAGAGGACTCAATGTGAGCAGAGAGACAGACGAACTGTGTATGCTAAGAGCTGGAAATGGGGAGCAAATCTTGCTTCAAAAGGCAAGCAGATATAGCTCAATTTGTGCCAGTGGACAAATGGGAGACATTGATAGCTACTGAGTCAAGGAGAAGCATGAGGGGACGGTACAGCAGAGTCAGAGTCAAATTTTTGTGTACTATGAACACTGCCTCCTTGATATGAGTTTTGAATGGCAGCTATAATGAGGAATAGCTACAGAAGAAAGCTGTGGCTACAAAAAATTAAGGAAAACACAGAAAAAATTATTATAAGTCTCCCAGCCTTGGAGACTGGAAATTATTTGGTAGTTTCTACTGAAATGAATAATGTTTAAGGAGCCAACTTCAGGAGAGAGATGATGAAATGACTTGAGATTTTGCTATTGTGATGTCATCTTGTAGAATCTAGTGGAATGTCACATCAAGAGGGAGCTTGGATTCAGTTCCTCTAACCGTTTTTTTTAATTCAAGGCAATCACATGAAAATTTCAACCCAACTTTTTCTTCGCAAGAATTCTATCCATGCAATCTTTCTCCATCTCCAGAATGAAAAATAAACAAATAAAAATAAAAGCTACTTAAAAATCACAGAAACTATTCCATTTGAAAACAATGGCAGCTACCATTTTGTTGCAAGAAAAGAAAGTTAAACCAAATGGAACTTAACGAGTCTTACAAGTCCTTTAGTTGTGTACCGAATTTAGTCAGAATCAGTGACTTCTTTAATGATATTCCTGAGAACTAATCTGGGAAGGCAAAGTGAAATGGTGAGATTCTTAAGTCCAAAGGGACCTTACTTCATCTGGTCAATTAGAATTGCCTTTGGAATTTACGACGCAAGCAACATACTACATAGATTTTGCCATAAGAAATGAAATTAGTCCCATAAATGTTCCCAATTGAAAGAGCAAAAGAACCAAAAAAACCCACGATGACTATTAGAAATAATTGGTTGTCTCTCTTTTGTACTGGCTATCTCACAACGCAATTCCTTAATGAAATCAAATTATGTACTTTTGGGGGCCAGCGAGGGGCATCATGTTGTCATTTGAATCTTCTGAGTTTTCGTAAAGAATCAGTTTGTAGAAATCTCCATATATTCCAGCCCCAACTCAAGGACAACAGATTACTGGAGGAAAAAAACTTTACATTGGCAAAAACAAAGGCCCTTATTGTGAACATGTTGCCTTCCAGCAAGCGCTCTCTCTCAGCAGGTGACAGGAGACTCTCACCTATGGTGGTGGCTAAATGTGTTTAGATCTCAAAGTCTTTCTTCTCTTGATAGGGACTACTTCTTTAAAAATGTTGATGCTTTCACAGGTCTCTTTGAAAATAATTATTAAAAAGAAATGGCTCCCAGGCTTTCTCCATGCATAGCAATAAACCTCAGCTGTGAGTAAGTTTTTTAAGTCAAGATTTTTGCTTCCAAAAAGCAGATTTGTAGAAACGCATTTAAAAGCCTTATTAATTGGAGCAGGCTACAGGCCAATTACTCCAGTGGCTTGAAAACAATCCAGACATAATAAAATATATAATAATGCTGATTTTTCTCCCCTGTTAATATTATCACAATCTGAGAAATCCTCTGAGATGTTGCGCCAAAAATTGTTTGGATCTTTAATGACAATTAATTACAGAATATCAAAGAGAGGTTTTGAAAAGTAAAAAAACTCAATCAGGTAGAGGAGACGTCCATTTGGCATTATTTAAACAAACTTTGTTTTTCTTGACTGCTCTTTTAGCATTTTGCTGCTTCTTTATTTTGCCACAGATGTTTTATTTTATAAGTGGATAAACTTTATCACTTCATAGATGAAATTTTTAAAAATAAGGTAAACAATTTAAAAACAGCAAAAGGTTAACAAGGCTGAAAGATAAGTCATATGCTAGCTTCTTTCTTAAAAAGTAAACATACCAAACAGAAATAAAAGAAAATTCGATACAAAAAAAAGGTACATTTTTAACTGAAAACAAAAACTCATTATAGAATGATACCAACGGGAAGTGTGTTTTGGTAGCCTCTTACTGAGTAAAGTTTCCTCATGTCTTCCTTCCCTTTCTACCCCTTTCACATAAACACACACGCACAGGGAATTCTTTCCATGAATAAATGATGTGGTAAAAAGAAAAACATCTCTAAAGTCATTTCCCATGAAAAAGAAAATTCGCACTTTTAGCTCCCTCCTTGATGCCAGGGAGTCATGATCTCCAGCATGCCGTTGCTGAAATACAAATATTATGAGTAGGTAGGTAAGACATTTCACTCATGATTACCAATTCTTTCAAAACTTGGTTCTGCCATTATCTCACTGCGGAACTGAGAAACTTGCTTGAATCTTCTAAATCCAAATCCCTTCATTGGTATACAACAATGTACGTTTATATAACAATACATATTTCAAATAGTTGTTGGGGAGAAGATATGAATGATGTCTATAAAGAGCTTACTTTGCATCATGCCTCATCAACTGGGCAAGGTGTTCAATCAAGAGTAGCTTCTACTGCTGTGATTATCATTATTTATTATTACTATTCCCATTAGCTAATGGGAAAGGAATGAGACCCAAGTCAACTCAATCAGATGGTTCGAAGGTGGAGAGAAATGCACGTATGGAAGCAGCAGAAGATGGGCAGTTTGAAGGCTCTGGGTCCCACACCGCACAGGGAGGGGGAGGGTCTGGGATAAACACCACCTCCTTGACAAGGTTGCCTGTGTTGACTTATTTGCCGCTGCCACAGATGCCACAATCTCCAGATGGGTGCACCAATGTTTTAGTCCATTTGGGTTGCTATAACAAAAATACTGTAAACTGGGTGGCTTAGTAACAACAGAAGTTTATTACTCATAGTTTTGGAGGCTGTGAAGTCCGAGGTCAAGGCACCAGCAGATTCAGTGTCTGGTGGGGGACCGCTTCCTGGTTCATAGATGGTCATCTTCTTGCCATGTCCACACATGATGTAAGGGGCAAGGGAGCTCTCTGGGGTCTCTTCTTATAGGGGCACCATTCCCATTCGTGATGGCTTCACCCTTATGAGCCAAAGACCCCACCTCCTCATACCATCACATTGATGCTTGGGTTTAAACAGACGAATTTGGTGACGGGGGACATAAATATTCAGTCTACAGCAGCAGGGTTAGTACAAGCAGATCTGTGCAAATATGGGGCATTTGGATGATTTCCACTTTTTTGGCCATTTCCCACGGCAAGTTGTACTCTTTCATCTAGGGTGACACTAAATCATCTTATTCCTGTTGAATTTTTAATCTTTTAGCTCTTTACTGGGAAAAAGAGTTGAGGGGACAAAAAGGAATAAAGGAAAGATTTAAAAATAAAGATGGGCTGGCCCCGTGGCCTAGTGGTTAAGTTTGGTGCATTCCACTTCAGCAGTCCAGGTTTGGATCCCAGGGGCGAATCTATACGACTTGCCAACGGCCATGCTTCGGGACGACCCACATACAAAATAGAGGAAGATTGGCACAGATGTTAGCTCAGGGCGAATCTTCCTCAAGCAAAAAGAGGCAGACTGGCAGCAGACATTAGGTCAGGGTAAATCTTTGCCGGCAAAAAAAAATAAATTAGATAAAGATGACTTTGAGACCCAAATTTATTATGCTTAGTGTTCAGGTATTTGCCTAATCACACACTCACAATCGGTGCTCAGCCCAGTGCCTTGTATGCTGCAGAAATGGCAGGCTTTGTCTGGCTGTGATGCACATGGTGTACTTTTGAACTCTCCCCTGAAAGTCTTTGGATACTCTTCGCCTATAACTGAGGACCTAAACAAGAATTTCCTGAGCTTCCGATCCTGGACTTGAGGCATCATTTCTTCACAGAAAGTGTTCCAAATTTTAATAGTTGTTATACAAGCTGTCAATCAGTGTGAGAAAGGCTATGTCAAACAAAGCCAAACAGGGACCCTTATTGCAAGACTTCTCAGAGTCTTTAACGTGCAGATACGAGACATAAATTCCCCAGAGAGGCACTTCTTTGATCATCCAACACTTTTTCACAGAGCATTTCATGAATTTAGTGGTGTCCTCAACACTTGGGAAAATGCTTGAGGAAGTCTCAAGATGGTTTTACATCTT